TATATATATACACATATATAAGTTTCAGCCTTTTTAGTTAATTTCCCCCAAAACATTTTTTGCTCATTTCTGCTTATTTAAACCTAATTCAGCAAATGTTTATTCTTTCTGCTTTAGGCATGTTCTTCCATTTCAGCTTGTTTTTAAGCAAATTTCAGCTGCTTTTCAGCAAGTTCTACTGCAATAAGCATTCACTGCATTTTTGTGGAAAATGCAATTTCTCTAGTTTTAATTCAATTATTTGGCTATCTGCTGCTAGCTGTAGCAGCTTCCTTTATGAATATCCTAGTATTTCTGCTGGAATACTTGTATACAACTATATAAAGAGTAATCAGTACTTAAATTTATTTTGGCCTTAGCTGCATTCCGACTAGCCATTAGCTCATCAATCAGGTCAGAATCAAACCATTTGTTCAAAAAGACTGTTCAGTCAACAGGTAAGATACAACTTCCACAGAGCCACAACTATCCTTTTAAAAGTGTCAGTTTTATTTATATTAATCGTATACACAGACAAACCAAGTTTGTTTTTATGTACTGAATAAACTTTACTGATTAAATGAAAACTAATACAAATGGGGCAAAACCAGAAAAAATAACACTTTTTTTTTTACCGCACACAGGCAAATAAATTAAGTCATTCTTTCAGGAAATCCAAACAAGACTCTGTTCTGCATTTCAAGTTAGCACTGAGCAAACATTAAACCCTCAGATCTGCTCAAGAAGTCTGAGAAATGTTGAAATACCTTCATTTTGATGCAATGCTACACAATAACAGTTTATCTAAATGAAGACAATTTCTGGAAGGATTCGTTTCTTGCAACTTATAGTTTTGTGGTTTTCCCTGAATCCATCCTCAGAGGGAGCAGCAGCATGACTAACCACTTCCTGACGAACGTTGGGTTAGTATTTATAGAGATGCTGCAGGTAGAGAGAGTCAAGACTGGCTAATAATTACTGCATGTGAAGACCACATGTACGGAGCAACGAGAAAACACCATCAGCTAACGTCCACAGCGAGCGAAAGGAGACACTTTAAGAACCACACAAACAACTCGTCTGATTTATTGTTTGCCTCTGAAATATTTACATCCTTTAAACCTTCCCTGGGTCTCTGACATGTGAACATTAAAGTGTCTACGTTCAGCTGCAGGGACAGAAGCTGTAGTTATGGAAGCATTTTATTACAAACAAGCCACCAGATGAGAATCAGCACAAAAGGCCGGTGAGACACACGCTCACTTTTCTTTATGTCGCCGTCTCCAGTCTCCCACTGGTCTTCAGTTTTATTTTACCAACGTGTCCAAGAACACAGTTGCCACTGTGGAAGGCCGGAAGGAAAAACAGATGAAAGGCAGAAGCAGGAATTAGACACAATGATCCAAAGCAGACAGCGCAGGATTGGATTGAGCATTTTTAAATGGGTAAAAATGTGCAACATAAACCGTTACTTGTTCCAAAATCATTATTACTATTATTTAAATAGCAGTTCAATTATATGTTTGTAAGAAAGATGGAGACGACTTTAGTAGGAGCGAATGGCTGGAGGAACATGAGCGCAGTCCTGCTCGTTCAGAGAGCTGTCTATAACTGGACGGTACACCAGCGTCACCTACGAACAGAAGGGGGACAAAGGTAGGAGACATTACTCATGACGGGAAACTCAAAGCTGACTGTAGCTCTTAGAGCAGATATTACCTTTCCAGTTTTGACGTCAACGTATGACAGTGTGTGCTTCCTCCAGTGCTGATCGAAGGGCTTCTCCTGCTGGCCCTCCAGGGGCTTGGAGTAGTCGAACTCATCGACACGGTCCTGGAACCAAGAGAAACTGTCAGAGAGCAGACCGGCTGTCCTCACTGAGATGTTGGTGCAAATGCAATAAATGCTGAGCCGGACTGTTTGGAAAATACAGATGAGGGGATATAAAAATGACAAAACTAGCATATAGTCATCCCTTGCTCTGTCGTGGTTCAGTTCTTGCAGTTTCACCGGATCGCAGATTTATTTTTTTTTTATCTATTGCATATATACAGACGTGCGCTGACTCCCACCAGCATTTTAAAAAAGGCTTATTGAACTGTCTGGCTGAAATTTTAGGTCCTCTGCTAAATTAATTACAGGGAAAGGTTTGATGGAGCATGGGAAGGGTTTATAAAGCCTTAAATATATCCATCCATCCATTTTCTTCCACTTGGTCCAAAGTCGGGTCTCGGGGGCAGCAGCTTGAGCAAGGAGGCCCAGACATCTCTTTCCACAGCCTCCTCTTCCAGCTCTTCTGGGAGGACCCCAAGGCGTTCCCAGGCCAACCGAGATACATTCTCTCTCCAGCCTGTCCTGGATCTTCCCGAGGTCTCCTCCCAGTAGGACATGCCTGAAGCACCTCCATAGGGAGGCGCCCAGGGGGCATCCTTACCAGATGCCCGAACCACCTCAACTGACTCCTCTCAACATTGAGGAGTAGCGGTTCTACTCCGAGTCTCTCCCAGATAATTGAACTTCTCACCCTGTCTCTAAGGGAGAGTTCAGCTACCCTGTGGAGGAAACTCATTTCAACCTCTTGTATCTGTGATCTTGTTCTTTTGGTCACTACCCAGAGCTCGTGACCATAGGTGAGGGTAGGAACGTAGACTGACCGGTAAACAGAGAGTTTTGCCTTACAGCTCAGCTCTCTCTTCACCACAACGGACCAGCACATAGTCCACAATACTGCAGATGCTGCACAATCCGTCTGTCAATCTCACGCTCCATTCTTCTCTTGCTCGTGAACAAAACCACGACATACTTGAACTTCTCCACTTGAGGTAGAACCTCATCCTTGACCTGAAGAGAGCAAGCCACCCTTTTCCAACTGAGGACCATGGCCTCAGATTTGGAGGTGCTGATTCTCATCCTGCCTCACTGAAGTTCCCACAGCAGTGAAGGGGAGAGACAGACCCCACCCTGCCTCCTCCTTTCTCTTTCTGAGGCTGTCGCAGCAGACACACAACAGACAGGCACCTGTTGTGTGTCTGCTGCG